ATTATTTGAATAAAAATACTTCGGAAATATTAAACATTCAGTTAATAAAAAGATTATGAAACTAATTATTTGTAATTATTCCTTGAGATTAACCTACAATGTAAGTCCTATATCGTTTACTTAACAAAATATACCACTTATAAGAAATGCTTTTCATAATTTATTGCTACACGTAATCATTAATCATTCACTTAAATATAACACTTAACAAATATTTGCCAATATAAGAATTTATCCAAATCACACTTCACTCATTAACACAAATCCAAGCCACACCTGAACATGCCTAGGTTGTTTCGATTTGTACATATTCAGCTACGTTCATGTTTCCGTATTGCAAGTGGAGTTGGAGCTACGTTCGTACGGGTGTCATATACCAAGAAGTCCGTAGTTTTTGGAGAAATTTTCTTAAAAACTAAATAGTAAGACATTAATATTATAGAAAATGGCAGATCCTGAACTTGAAGCAATACGACAGCAACGATTAGCCCAGTTACAGTCACAGTTTAAGGTAAATTGAACATACTGTTTATGGCAATTAAAATGTTTTACAAATTTTTGACAAATGTAAGCCGCGAAATCTTTAATAAAAGTTTAAATATTAATAAAACAAAATAGTCAAAAATTATAGCAATACTTTTAGTTTCTTAAAATATTATTTATTTTACTGATCTTAAATTTGGACAAAACCAAGCTATTTATAATTATAATGTATAGATACAGCTCTATAAATATTTGTCATTTATTTTCATCTATTATTATATTACGATTAATTTATAAACGTTTTAGTCTGGCAATGTTGATAACAAACAAGCAATGGAGGAAAAAAGGCAACAAATTGAAGATAGAAGGAATGCTATTCTTATCCAAGTATTAGATCAATCTGCTAGAGCAAGACGTAAGCATATTAATACAACTAAATTATATATATACAGGGTGGCCTATGCACCTGGAACAAGCTACATTTTTAAAATGGTTAGAGATAGCAAAAAATGTTATAAGGCAAAGTAAAATGGTATAAGATGTACTATGTGTGTGTGTAAAGATGTTCCATCATATACTCTTCTTTTAGTAAATACATTATGTCTTGGAAAACCTGAGAAAGGAAAAATGGTAGAAGATATGATATTAAATATGGCACAACGTGGTCAACTATCTGGTAAACTAGGAGAGAAAGGACTCATTAGTCTACTTGAAAGTGTAAATCAACAAACACAACGAAAAACTGTTGTTAAGGTTATTCATAATATATTACATATGTATACGTATATATTATTTTAAAAGGAAATGAAATTCTTCATAAAAATTAAATTTCAGTTTGATAGACGAAGAGCAGCACTGGATTCTGATGACGACGATTTATAGCACTTCTATGTATTTTTGCGGTTTGCTGAAAAGCAATACTATATTCTCTGCGTAATTTTTAAATAAAAATTGAATTTATAACTAATTAAGCATATAGGTGTGTGTTATGTTTTTATTTTTTATGGTATATTATGAAATAAAAAATTAAAATCATGTATTAAGATTGATTTTAAACTAGATTTTGCTTTAAAGTATTCAAAAGATTTATACAATAATTTACATAAATATGTAATGATATAAGTATTTATCAGTAGAATTTATATAAACAAATATAGATTTGTAATTTCAAATGTAAAATATTAGAGGTCTCTATTTCACTTGTATTGACGTATTCGTATTTTAATCCGTGGATACTCGAGTAATTTACAAAACAAAAGTGTGACTTTACTAATTACCAAGTTGCAAGTAACAATAATACATTTCAATATAATTTCTCCTAACAACATTGAATTAATTAATTTTGTTTTAATACAAAAAAAACTAAGGTATTTACATTTTCTGGCAACAGAGGGCTTCTTTTTGGCGTAATAATATTCTCAGTACTTGAGAAACATCACTCGGAAGTAACCGATGTTGCTGGTATCATTAAATATTTCATTGCGAATTCTGCAATTGCTAGATATTTAGTTTCCCGTGTCTTACCCATATATTAGAAATCACATGAATAAAAATACGGATAAGTTAATGCAAATGTATTTAAATACAAGTGAAGCAGAGATCTCTAGTATCCGTGTACACGGATATTAAAAGCATAATTACCCGTGCATTAAGAACACGGGTTTTAAATTTCCTAATACATGTTATACGTGTCTCTTTAATACACGTTCAAAAGTGTGACTTCTAGTAAATATGCAAAATATTTACCACTCACATTTTTTGCATAAAACTTTAATATACTTTTATATATCAATTATTTATAATACAAAACAAATTATTTTATGAAAATTAAAAAGGTCTGTTTAATTATATGATTTGTATTGTCTTATAGAAATTCCATTTAGTTAAGATAATTTGTTTTTATCATCGTTCTACCTAATTCAACGCATTTCTTTCATTTCACTGATTATAAAAATGATCACTTTTATAATTCATAAAATTCATTTTGTTAAACCAATAAATAATAAATGAAATATCAATAATTAAATTTAAAGGTTTTTCAGACAATATTAATAGATATATCCTAATTGAAATTATAAATATGATGAAAATTTTATAAAATTGTTTAATATAAACAATATGATAATTTAATTGTTTTTAATCTTTCTTCATATGATTTGCTCCTGGGTAATCTAGAAAATCATTTAACATGAACAAAATGTATAATAATATGTATATTAAACTTAAAAAAAACATATTTACCTTCTTCATCGTCATCTGCATCTAAAATATCTGGGCAACATATCCCATAACATATTAGAGATAAGAAACCTGCTGGTAAACCAAATAAAACCATTGTCAAGATAGGATTACCCATCCACATAGCAGAAAGAGTTGTTTTTAATTCAAACCATGATCTATATATACGTATTAACCAATTATTTCCACCATATCGCTGAAAATATGCCCTTAAATGTTAATTAAACTTCATTTTCTTACATAAAATAGTTTAAATGTATTAAAAAAAATTGTTTATCTACCGGAGCACTTTCATTTCTAATTTGCTCTAGGAACAATTCTATCACATGAGGAGTCAGTTTTTCTGTTTCATCCTCTGGAATATGATGATGATTTGTTGTAGTATTAATAACAATTAAACTTGGTAATGGTAAAACCATCATCGCTATACTATTGACTAGATCAGGACTAGCTATCCAACCAAACTGAAAATGACTAAATACGAAAGCAATAATTACAATTAAATTTTGAACAAAATAATGTACAAATTCCTCCAATATAACTTACTCATGATATTTTTCTCGTTTGCTTTTTATTATTGACTCTACCATATCTTTAAATCGCACCATATGCGGTGGTACTTCTTCTAACTGATTTTCTTCTACAACTGCCAGAACCAGATTTTTATTTGTCAGAAAAAGTTGATTTATATTTCCTCTTGTTACTTTTGGGAATGTAGGAAAACGTTCTGCATTTATCCACTTGTATAATGTCTCATTTAGTTTTTCTATATCATGTATATCATGAGCTATGTTAAATATAATAACTGTTAAAAATATATCTTTTATAGATAACATGTATCTTTTACAGACATCTTACCAGTAAAGTTATAATGCAAATTTTCCTTATAAACAAATAATGCTGGGACATTTTTAATGGGAGCATGTTTACTAACAATATTTGGATGAGACTGATAGAAAAATGCATATGGTTGGAACACATCTGCAGTCTTGTGGTAAAATTCCTAAATATATTTTTGTAAATTAGAATTTTTTTCAATAACATTTCTATTATAGTGACCATAAAATAAAATTTGTATTTTACCCATAATGGTCCAGATCTTTCTCCAACATATAAAAAGTATAAATCATGTTCCTTTTTAACTGTGTCAAAACTTTGAGTTTTTGTTATTTCTTGAACAGGTGGACCACTTACTCTGAATGCAAATTTTACTATTTCATCTCGCGTTCTATCTCCATGATATATAAACTCTTGTTCACCTTTCAAACTATATACAAATATAACAAAACTATATATAAATAATATTATTTTAAATGTGTTATTAAATTTATATTATAAGAGTAAGTTTGACACTGCTCCTTACAATATAATAGTTGGAAATCCTTTAACTTTAAAAGCATGAGCAACACTTGTAAATCTAGTACAATCTACACGTCCTACACGTATTGATGTTGCATGTAAATGTTGTGCTACATGAGCCCAAATTGGTTCTAATCGTTTGCAATGTGCACACCATGGTGCGTACATCTACAAAAAACAATATTGGAGTTTACCAATAATAATTAAATCTGTAAATTTAACATTTAAAGTACTTTATGTTAATACCATTACAAGCCATTGTCCATCTTTATGAATGTCCAAGAATCTGTAAAGAAAGATTTAATAAAATACAAAGTTTTCTACATATAAGTATGTATTATCTGTATAAATACAGGATGTACAAACATTAATTAATATGTACCTGTCACTTAATTCAAGTACTCGTGATGTTGTTACAGGGGTTAAAATTCCTAAAAAAGCTGAATTATGTTTCAATAATACTAATTACATTGAAAAATACTATACATAAAATGACTTATACATAACTAAATCAATTATATATTTTAAATAATAATTACTTTTTTTTCTCATGTTAAAAGGTTAGTAAATTATCGATCAGTAATATTTGAAGGTTATAAAGTAATTCATTTAATTACAATGTTATACATGTAAAAATAATACTAAATTAATATTATATTTCACAGTTAATTAATCGAAGTAGATATATTTACCATAAATAACTGTGACAAGCATCAATTTCGTTATTGTTACCATTGCAGCAAAAAGATTTTTAATTGGAAAAAGCCTACTTTGTTTAATCTGAAGATCCAATATATTATGCTTAATCAATTTGCTTTCACATAATTACAATCGTTAACAGTTTTAGCTGTTAAATGTAAATGTATACGTTAAAACCCGGTACATCTCTAACATGTTTTCGTTCTGCGACGCCACACGATCTTCTTACCGACTTCTAAACTGCTGACCTTTGTACTTTGCATCTGTAGTCTATATATGTACATATACGAAAAGTGTACCCAGAGTGGGGATTTAAAAATGCATTAATTGCAAATTTTATGCAATTTGGAGTGCACGCATAGCTTTTTTTCGAATTATTGAAAGCTATAGAGCTCGCATTTGACGTAGTCCAGAGTGCCTGTAGACATTTATCCTTTTTCTTGTAGATATTTCCTATTGTTATTACTCACGATCAGAGCAATTGTAATAGTTTAAACTATTATACGAATCACTTTTTATAAATTCGTTAATGTGCCAATAATTAAACTTTGGAAATTACCTTGGCTAAGGAACAATTCATTGGTAAGTTATAACAATATCAATAAAAACTAATAACATTTTCATTAGGTACTTTATTTACGTATTCCATACAGAATATTTTATATTTCAACCTAATATGTGCGAAAGAAATCCTAAATTTTCATAATTGCTTTTATATAATTGTAAATATTAATATGAAAATTTTTCAAGCCTTAAGACTGGATCGTATCTCCAGTTTCGGCATTAAACTCAGCATCTTCAAAATCCTGAAAGTAAGACATTGATACAGATCTTTTGTGATATATAAATCGATAAATTATAAAAAATTTAAATTTTGTTTGTTAATTATGAACAACTCACATAATTTTAATCGACAATTGTACTATCTGGGAAACCGCAAAGTAACATTATGAGAAAAATATAGAACGAATGTACAATATTGAAGATGATCATAATAAAAAGAATGTAAACGTAGCAAAGGAATAAGAAAGGATAAAAAATTATGGTGATGCCAATGTTAGCCAAACTTGTCAATATACTGCCCATTTCTCATTTTCTTCTACGCGATTCACTTTTTAATTATACATAACGAATTTAGAAATAAACTCATTTTTTATAAATTGGATAAAATATTGATTATTTTATTAAAATTTGTATATTTTATTGCTATAGATATTATTGATAAAATATAATTAATATTCACATAATCCAACCTTTTACGAACAAAATTGACCATAAGATCGATTTTCAATCGAAAAACAAGACCACATTTCGATCATGTAATAGCATCGTTTTTATGGAAAAAACAATGATTAAACTTGAAATAAAATGTTTACAAAAGAATAATAAGAATAATAAGAGAATTTTATAAAGTGATTTGAAGCTTTTTGAATTTTAAATTGCAATTATTTTCGATATTCTTATTTATTATTAATAGTTAATGAATAAAAAATTTCATACCTCTTCATCATCTGTTTCGTCATTTTCAATATTTATTATGCTAACACCATTTAATTTAAGCATGAGTATTAAATAAATTGCAAGCGCCGTATTAAGTAAATTCGCTAAATACATAACGTAAAAATACGTTAAATATAAAAAAGGAAGGATAACAATTTTCACAGAGATTTTAGCTATTCCTCCAAAAAAGTATCCCATATCGGAACCGAAAATTACTGTATCTGCAAAGTATTTATTTATTTGCATTAACTTAATTACTTTGAATCAATATAAAAAACTTTTTCGATGTTGCATAGAAGCTTTTCATAAATATCTATGATCTATTTTACTCAACCAACTTCGTGTATTTGATAAATAATTTGTTTAATTGAATATTTATTGTTATATATAAATGATTAATACATAAATTTTCTACATTTCATTTGTTAATA